AGCAAACGAATGTGTATACAAATAAACTGAAACAGAACTATTAGTCCATGATGATAAAATGTAGTTAAATTATCTTCGTCAATTTAAGTAAAATGATCAAAGTAATCTGATAAGATCAATTGTTTAGTATGATTTTTTTCATCCTCTAATACGTCTGTGGATTACTTAACCGGTTTGTGATCGATACTGAAACCCCGAATCAAATGACGTGTAATGTCAACACAAAAACTGATGGTACCGATTTCGTTGACCTGGGAAGTAGAAAAACTGAGTTTTCTATGATTTATTTACAGCGGAATACAAATTCCAATTTATCTAGTCTGAACTGAGTATTAATTAACATCACAGTCATTATATGGAAAGCGAATATCAAGCACTTATGTGGAGTTAGAAGAGAAAGAAATAGAACCATCACTTCCCACTATCTAAGAATTTATTTTATTGATATAGAAAATAGTCATACATTTGAATCATGGTTTGTTAAATTCGAAAAGGCACAGTTGTTGATACAGAAACTATGCCAACAAGAATACTCCAAATATGAAAATTATATTTTGCTACGAAACCTAAAGGAGTTGAGTTTTGATGAAGCCATAAAATATTTTGAACAAGATATTTTGTAAACTAACATCGTTATAGATATCTCCAGTTAACAAAGGAAATTGATTAAAATGATCTGAAGTACGCAGACAGAGTTAGACTACAATTTGAACGTTATCGAACAGTTGATTGAGACTTTTGTTCTTAGTTTCTGGATTACAATCATCCGCAGATGCCAATTTCTGGACACGACTGTTGTTTTGTATTAAACAAGATACTGGGATCACATTGCAGTTGATTACTGCAGGGTTTAAGCGCTTGGTAATCTAAAACATCACAATACAGTAATAGGAACTAAATTGTAGTATCCATTCGGTCAAACCAAGAGACAAAATGACGTTGCTGACTGCAATCGACACCAGGCTCAATTAACAAAACTTAAAAAATATTAGTTTTATGGTGAATGACATTTAGCCAAAACTTGTTATAGAGATTACAAACATATTATACATAATAAATTTAGTCATGAAAGGATCTTCTTTAGAGAGCGGCATTATTTGAAATCCAAATCATAAACAAAGTTTTCCATAGGTCATAAAAATGAGTATTTTGGGATTATAATTCTTCAAGTTTTGGATTTTTAATGTGTTGATATGTCTGGAAAGTGGAACTACGTTGAAATATCGGTATACATAATATCTATTGAACTTCAGATTGATGATAGGTCAGAAGTTACTATGATTTCTTGTGATACTTGACGAAAGCATAATAAACCACCTAGAACTGTTCAATACAACCCAAATGGAACAGTCAAACGGTGTGCTTCGTTGTGAAGAGCTATTCAAAAAGGTGTGAGGAAGAGGAACGGTTGCGTTGCTTTGAAATCTGGCGGTGTATCTCGTCAAACTGCCACAAAGCATAACAGATTATTTTTTGCTTTCTGGCTTTAGGCAGATCTTTAACAGTATGCCCAAAATGTAACCATGCAATAAAATTTATTCGATTTTCAGAACTAGTCTAGTACGACTGGGTCCTAGTCAAATTATTCAGCAGGACAGATTATAAGTTACGCAGTAGGGCTTTAGAAACTGTTGAGTTACTTACCAAAAGCATGGGTCGATTTTGTCATGTAAGTGTACTGTTGATATGTCCCTAGCAGGATGAAACGGCTGTACATTGCTTTCAGGTTTCTATTGGTGGTCTAACATTGGTTGATTCATGATTTCAAACAGTTAATATGTGCAAAGTAGTTTATTTATTCTCGTCAATGTCAAAGACAACGGAGGGACATCGATCAGCTGTCATGAAAAGACCTTTGTGACGGTGGCTCCGACTAAGCCTTTGTTGGTAACAGTATGTTCAGTTACCCATTAAGATTATCTTTTACAGCAGGTTACCAAACTAATGTCTTGCACGATCTAAATTGGACAAGTGCTGGGATGTCAAACCGTCCTTGTGAAACATGAATAGGACTTTAACCAACGACACAGTGTCTTAGGGTACGTGGTATTGCTTGAAGAAAGTCACCTTGATTTGTTTTCCACGTTTTCCACATTAGAGTGAAAAAATTGGAAATTCATGAAATTTCTCACTAACTTTTAGTAATTAGTAAAATCGGATAAGAAATTCTTCCTTCGCACGTTAAGAAGCTTGTGAATGACGATATCTGGTAAAATAACAGTAGCGTCTTATCTTGATGGATCAGAAGGACTGCACTGCATAGTAGCAAAAATCTTATCAATATCTGTAAATACTGTTAGTTCAAGGGTTTAAGAAACGTTGCGTTATATTCCCCGATGAAACATTGATTTGAGCGCAGGCTGGAGCTTAATCACAAGAGACAATCATCCTCTTATTGATTTAAATGATTTAACGTAATTCCATTACGTGTATGTAAACGCTTTAATGAGTACAGAATTTTGTTAAGGATAGTTGTTATTATTTATGCACCCTATTCTCATATCATGCTGATTGACATTCACGTGTTTGAGTTCATACCTCCTTCTAAAATTTTTTTAACTGTTTAGTAACCACACTGTCGCACATGTTTGAGCTCAGAACATACAGCCTATTCCTTGTCACAGAAACACTTTGGATCTGTACCTCCGGTTCCTTCAGAATACTTTCCCTATTTCGTTACAACTTTGTGTATTTTTGGACCTGTGAACTAGAAATCTCCTGGTAATTCATTTCTTACACATTACTGAGTAATAACTGAATTAGAAAATTCCATCTTCTGTGGGACTATTACAAGATGCATTATAATCGGTAAATTTTTCATTGTTAGCACTTATCTTGTATAAATGAATTTTCTACTCTAATAGTTCACTCCGTCTCCAATCGTGTAGGTTGATACACGTTTACCCTTAGTCCAGGAACAAAAACACGATAATTCTGCGAGAAAACGTTTCTATTAATTGATAAAATGGAAATACAGACAATTACCAAAACAATATTACACCTTCGAGATCCAAATTACCGCGATGAGTATCCGTTTCTCGAAGAATAAGTGCTTCCAGTCCTTTACTGTTAAAGAATCAAATCCAAATATGGCTGTAGCCATATTAAATATCAAATTTAAACAACATATGTACAGTTCAGAAGGAAACGTGGAAACTTCAATATAAGTACAAGATATAGAAATAATAACAATATACAATGATATAATCTCAAAATGGAATCAAATAGAGTTCCGACTTGTCAACAGAAAAAGTCAGTCATATCATTACACAAATATATATATATATATATATATATATATATATATATATACATGTAGGGATTTTCCAAAAAACAACACATTCAAAATAAATTCTACATCTTGCTTTTATGATGTCTAAGGATTCTGTGCTAAAGTAGCTACTTGACATCGTTGTGTTTTGGAAACCGTTTCACCTTTGTTATTCTGAAAGTTACTTTTTGATTATTACAATGCTAGAACACTTTACGTAGGTTGCTTCTTCGTCAGCTGAATCTTACATCATGACTACTCATTCTTAAAATCATCTTCATGTTTTCAAATGAGTAACAAGCAAGGTGATTGTGCTGCAGCAAGTACTTACAGTATATTCACTAGAAAGACTAAGAGTGGATTCAGTCCAGGTGCTGTGACCGGTTTAAAGTCCTTGTTTCAGGACTCGATTACCAGAAAGATCAAAAGGATAATTTATAATGATGCTTGTTGAAATGTTCAAATCATGAATCACCAGTCTCAAAGGCCGAAACCAGGTTGTCAACTAAGGAATCAAGGTATTTTCGGGCAGAGTTTTGGGGATTCGTGTTTTTACACATTTGAAATCATCAGTCAATAATTGTTAGACCACCATTAGAAACCTGGAAGTACTGGACGGCTGTTTCATCCTTGTATGGGACTACTCATCAGCAGTGCGCATCCACGACTCCTGCACCTCGCAGGATTCGAACCATGGGACCTTCGGTATTGTGAGCGAACGCCTAACCATCGGACCTCTGGGCCAGCATCCAACGCTGTTAATGTCTAACTCTGATTGATCGACGGATATTACCCAGATTAATTCTCCAGGAAAGACTGGTTGGCAAAAAATAAATGGTAGAAAAAGTGTCGCCATTTTCGGATGTTGCAACTAGTTTAACTGAAATGTCCATACAACGTTAAAGAAATGTTTTTTAAACTTTGAAGATTCATTTTTCACTAGAAGTACACCGATTTATGAAGTCAACCATCAAGTACATCCAAAGCCACGTAAAGTTACTCCGAGATTTTAGAAACACTTGTTTCCAGCCTAGTTGGAAAATTAGTATTCCTACATGAAACATGGCTCTCCACCGACCAAACGGACAAGTAAGCTTACAAAAAATGATATTTTTCATAGTTGATAAAGTACTTTTTTTTCTCATCAGTAGTTTCCCTCATGCGAAATGGTTCATCAACCATCATGTCCACATGTCTCTGAGTTTAGCATCAAGAGGAGACTTGGTAAACACAAATCAACCCTTCGATGAACATCTCCCAGACAGACCAGTTGTGCCTCATGTATGTATTTTACTTTACCCACCGTTATGATTATCATATATCTTCATCTTATTCCTACCTTGTCTATTATCATTTCTGCTTTCCCGTTGTACTCACATATAGGACTAGCCACACTGTCTACAATGCCAATTAGTCAGCTTACGAATTCGGTGTTGGAGACTACCTTCTTTCTGAATTATAATTTTCTCCCTATCATTTTCCATCTTTGAGAAATTTCATTATACCGAGGCAAACGTAATGGTTATGACATCGAGATATTCAAAACTGCAAGGAATGACCGATGAATAAAATTTGTACGATTACTTGTCTAGAATATTGTAAATTAGACATAATTGAAAATCCTGAGAGGTGTCAAAATACCATGAAGCGAGCTCAAATAAATTATTCTAATTCCACTACTTTTTGTCAAGTATGTTGATGATATTGGATATTGGCATATCCACGGCGGCTTTCCCAAAGCTCTAGGTCGGTGAGACTATTCATATGGCTCTCAAAACATGAAACATTGTATAAACCTACTCGTCATTGAACTATATGTAATAACAGCTATATACTTCATAACGGTGTCTTGTACATCTAATAATCGGGATTATGAAAATATTCATTCACTAAAGCTTAACAAAGTATTTTTATTTTTAAAATTATTGTTTAGATTCCTAATGACTCTTATATACTAATTCACACATTGGAAGGTGAAATTTTATGCGTTCATAGACGTTCTGGATACTTAAAATGGAAGATTGATTCTGGTATGTTTTTCTTAAATATTGTCATTTTGTTGATGTAGCTTCCTCTCTTAGTGCAAGTTATGACAATGGGTTAGTTAAAAACTTTTTCTCCTAAATTTTGTAGCCCACTCTTAGTTGTAGATCCTATTAGTGGTTCTCTCTACGAATACGCAAGTTCTGTCTCAGAATTTCTATTTCAACAGTTGGATCATTCCATCATGGGGCACGTACGCCGTTCTCCTGCATACTACAAGAACTTCTTATCTCTGGGTAATTGATTTTCAAAGCATTTATGTACCTGTCAGCACTTTTAAAATTTTCAGATCTTTTACTGTGGTATAATGACTGTCCTATAAAAGGTCTCTTTTGTAGTTACCTGAGTCGCTAGTCTCATTCTTATTAAATTTAATGATGAAAACACTTTTTCGAAATAACTAAAGTTATCCCTCAGGGGTTAGCTCCATTTTTTACTGAATTTAGTTCATCTAGCATTTCCTTTGTTTGTATCATATTCATTTGAATATATTTTCGTATACCGTGGTAATTATTTATGTGACCCAAAACTCCCTAAGAATGTATTTTACGCACATTGATGTGAAAGTTACGTAATAGACGTCTAATTTATTCTACATTGCCTATAGACGCTCTTACTACCTGATTGTCTTCGGAAGCATGTTTAAATATCGTTAACATTATTCTCATACTGTGTGAATAAATTAATATGCTGACCTTGTGTTTCCGCGGATCGTTGTTTTACAACTCATCTTCAGCTAATTCTGTGTGATATAGTCTTAAAATTACTTCTACTGAGGTTTCGTATCCGAAGTGATGTTAAAAATTTTGTAATCCATCTATCACTTTAACATATCGAATAAACGTTATGTCAGTCAATGTCGCTTCTCCTTGATATCAGTACCCAACTATCACTGTTTTTACTGGTTACACTTATCAAAAGTATAAAAATAATTTTTCTTCATAGTTGTTGATCATCATGTAACTCATACAATTAGCGCCTGGAACGTAAGCAAACCGCTTCAAGTTGGTACAGTACATTACGGAGGCATAAAATTATCAATATGAATATGAACGTAGCAGTAATTTTAATGTCGTTTGTAGTGAAAAATATCATAGACAAAGAAAATTATTAAAGAAACATTGAGTCGTGAAATATAATCGTTTTGCGCATCTAGGGGTCAACAGAAAGTAAATGCATTTCAACTTAATGTCTCCTACCACGTCACAGTCAACGTACGAACTTGAACCAAGCAGTCTACCAAAACAATCCAAATTAATAGTCAGTAACTTCATAGGCTGACTTCAAATCTTAGTTTCGCAGCTTCTACCCTTCTTTCAGCTTCTTCATCCGCAATCGTCACTCATCAAAGTATACATAGAACATATCTTAACAATCTATCGATGAGGATTCACTATCTTCACTCAGCAATCTGCATATAGCCTCAGCTCTCCTCACTTGATGATATTAGTTCGTGATATCTGTTGATATCAAGTGAAAATATATGGTTCATGTTTTCATTTTCTAATTTCAGGTTACTAATCAGTATCGTAAAGACGTTTATTGTTCTATATTTGACTTACTATTCCATAATAATAATTGCAGGTTTCCCTTCAAGCATGGCGTTGTCAGTACCTAAGTGAATTGAATTTCCTTCTTCGGTAGTATTATTTTCCTATTACCACAAACTTAATTTACGGTTAGGCACACGAACCTCATGCGTGACCATTAAATTTTTCTTCGACTTTTGGTTAACCGAGAATCAGTTAACTCCAGGTTACCATTTGTTGTTCGCTAGCCAAAGTTAATGCAATATAATTCCCTGGCAAACATCTCTAATTAAGAAGCGTGAAAACATATTATTGTTGATTTTACGATGAAATTATCATTTACAACTGGCAGTTTGGTATCTATTGTACAGTTTGATTCACCAACACAAGCATTGTTTTGAGTTATCTTACCAAAGATTCTTATTTGCTCTGTATATTTGGAACTAATACCGTTACAGAAATTGTCTCAACACAATAAGTTAGTTAGTCAGCCAGCAGTAGTAGTTAGTTGTCCTTCATTGACTAAATAAAATGAACTTTTGAAATATTCTTTTTATGTCTAAAAATATTTGCTTATGTTGTTTTTATTTACCTAATAAGGTTCTAAATCAGATTTTTGGACTTCTGTGGATATGAATACAGGGAGAATTTTCGAGTCAATATTTCAAGATTATGTGGATAAGTGTCCAACTTCATTAAACAATGAGAATGTTAACAACATTCAGAACTCTACTAAAGAAGGGATCGACATTATAAATCTTGGAAGAACCCAGTATAGTTTAGTACTTCGTGATCGTTTTACTGGTTTGGTAAGGTGAGTAATCATTTTGAACTCGTAATAATAGTATACTATGAACTTTTGAATTTAACGTGTTTTAGTAATCGTTGTTGATATTACGCATCAGATGACCTCCTTTTCGTTAAGTAGTATTAAGTGCTGGTCTAAAGGAGTTCAGACAGTAATAAGATATAAATAGTTTTTTAGTTATTACTAGTCTACGAAGCCTATATATAGCACTTGCCAATTGAATGTACCTGTGATCTTGAGAAAATGTTTGCTGCCGAGTCAATCTTAACCTACGTCACTCAGGTTCACATCCCAAAATGTTACTACTGAGTTATTCATTTCGTGACATCAATCACTCAAATGTAATCGATATCATGATTATTTAGTCCCTTTGGTGCTGTTTCAAGTCCAACATCAAATATCTTAACATACTTCACGTGATAAAGATTCATTCAGACTAGTTATTTCATTGCACATGAATCGATCGACACTAAAAGGACTAGAAAAATTAACACTAGTCATTGCTTAGCAATCAATCAATTGTAGACACTATGCTTCTTTCGTAAGAAGTACCGACAGCTTTGGCCTAATAAAACCTCGCTTAGTAAATCAAATTTTTAACTCGATAAATGGGACTTAAGTACTTAAATAAATACATTTCAACTATGTGTTATCTATATGTAAAATTCAAACTAGTGAGTTAGTATGATTTTTCGGGCAGAGTTTTGGAGGTTTTTATGTTTTTACACATTTGTGTGAGGTCGCACAAAATCCCTAGATCAATCAGTTAGACATTAACACAGTTGGATACCGGCCCAGTGGTCCCGAGGTTAGGCGTTCGCTCACAATACCGAAGGTCCTGAGTTCGAATCCTGCCGGGTGCGGGAGTCGTGGATGCGCACTGCTAATGAGTCCCTAGCAGGACGAAACGGCCGTCCAGTGCTTCCGGGTTGCTAATGGTGGTCTAAAAATGATTGATTGATAGTATGACTTTGTCTTAATATCTATATTTATCAACGGGATACACATTAAAGCACTTTCTGTTACTGAAGAGGGAGATATGATAACCTGTTAGCGAAAGTTCTTAGTCGTTTACTATACCGGTTAAGATATCTAAAGTTATAACTTAGGATCTAGTGAAGAACGGGAATAGCACTTTATTAGCTTAATCTTGAATGCTGTTTTATGTCGTTGAGTTTTTTCCTTACAATCTTTTCGTTTAATTATCCATGTAGGTCTAAATGCTTTTTTTTCCTCTCTCTAATTTTCTTCTTATAGACTTAATATCACTTACAATACGTTTGCCTCTCATACAGAAGCAGATCTGCAAAATTATGGTTCGTAAAAATATTTTCATTCATAATTGCTTTCTGGTTGTTATATCATTTGAATGGGAATTTTTAAGTAAATAAGTAAAATTTTGATTAAATTTAGGGATTATTTTTGTCATTGGCTAAATTCGGTGAAGACTCTGAAAAAATGCAGACTACCCTAGACAACAATGCAAGCATGCTGTTCTCACCCTCGAAACGCAAAATGTTGCTTCAAGATTGGCTTGCGTCGGCACCTGAACTAATGATAGAGAGTGAACTAATCGAATGTGTCGACCGCTTCACTTATCTTAAGAGTTTTATCAGCGTTGATGGCCTGGTGACTGATGAAATCTCAGCACGAATACTAGGTAAGGATAGCAGGCCAATAGATGAAGTATTGAAACTTCATCAGTTGAGGTGGTTGGGACATGTGTTACGTATGCCTAACCACCGACTGCCTGGACGAGCAATGTTTTGTGGTGTAGGTTTAGGCAGGAATAAAGTTAGGGGCGGCCAAACCGAAACGTGGCAGAAATCCATGAAGTTACTGACAAGTGGACTGAATTATGTTGGCAGACGTAGGCTACCTGGTTGGCATCCGCGAGACGATAGTAACCGATGGTTGAAGACCTTGAATGATATGACTGAAAATCGTTTTGCAATGGCGCAGATGCATCCATTCTTTGTGTTCTCTCAAATCCTTATCTTCTGGATTCGTCAATACCTCTACCTTTGTCTTTCTAAACTTATCTCACTGAATTATACTTCTTGAATAATATCTTCAAATCCCAATCTTCCCCATTATCAGTAACACTTCTACTATCTCTAGTAGTATGAGATTTGGATTGACAATTGCGTCTCTGTGCTGTGTTATGGCAACTTGAACTGATGTACTTATGTACGAAGTTCTATGCTGTAACTGACTAACTGACTGATTGGCTAAATGATGATTGACCGAGATACTTTAAATATGTATTTCTTTTAATTTAAGGAATATTCAGTCAGTCACAGAAAATACTGGAAAAAATGAGCGAAACAATCAAACTTACTTATGAAGCCTTCCACCGTGATCGTGCGATCCCCTTCCATGTTTTTTTTATTGACTCACAAAATTGCATTGACTAGTTTAGCACTTTTTTTTCTTAAATATCCATATGTAGAAATTACTGTTTATATTAGAATGAGCTTTGAGTAAAATTTCATGTATAAATTTGTTTACTTACTTACTGTTTAATTAATTGATTACTCTAATTTTGAAACTTTGCATTATTTTTAATTTTCAATTGTTATCTAACAGATTTACAACACGTTGCTATTACTCAACCGGCTTTATTGACTTTTGAAGGATCTAAGCGTAAGTTGATCATAAGGCACATGTTTTTTTTCCAGAATGAATTAAGCGCTCTTATTAACCATATGTAGATAACTTAGATGCTAAAATTTTTCTTTATACACTTCGTCATCTGATATTCCACTTAATTCAAGTAATGATTAAACACATGTAATAATAGTTTCATTGTTTCAGGCGATGTTGTTTCACGGCTTTACTCTTTATGCTGTTCTAAGATTAGTTGGTTCTGTTTCTGGAAACTCGAGTTTCAGTCGCTATATCAGAGAGTTCAGTCAGATGCAACGTAGAACTTCGTACGTAAGTACATCAGTTCATGTTGCCATACCACATCAGCACAGAGATATAATTGTCAATTCAAATCCAATAATTGTAGATGTAGTAAAGGTATTAGAAGTAATCGGAGAGGTTAGGATTAGAAGATATTCAAGAAATATGATTCAGTGAGAAAAGTTTAGAAAGTCAAAACTAGAGGGGTTGAAGAATCCAGAAGATTAGGATTTGAGAGAACACAAAGCATGAATGAACCTACGCTATTGCAAGCGGTTTTGAGCCATTCAACATCGCTAACCATCGATTACTATCATCTCACGGGCCCCAACCACGGTAGTCTACACCTACCAACATGACTCAGTCCACTTGTCGATGACTTCATGGATTTCTGCCATGTTTTGGTTTAGCCGCCCCTCTAGCTTTCGTCTAATCTATTAGCGTCGTACTTACCCTAAAAGATTTTTTTTGTCTGTTCAACAACTTATTCGGGTTTCGATTCTGCTGCTTTGATTATATATTCTACTTTATGAAACAATCCAATCTTACTTTATTGAATAGTAATCAGAACTGTGTAGTCATTAATAACTCGGAAAGGCGTTAAATTATGAAATTTTACTTTAATTTTAAAATTAACTTAATTAATTATCTAGTAGCATCGAGCCAATCAATACGTATTACATGAATCTGTATGGCATATATCACGTAACAATTGATCAGCCTTTCGCGTTATCTATGGAACCTGAGTGGGATATATATATATATATATATATATATATATATATATGGTATATGCTGTATGGCTAACTATGAAACAGAGCATGCATTTTATCTTAGTTGCGACTTATCAATTGAGTTATTGATGTTGTTTATTGGGCAATACATTATTACATTAGTCAATCTATTCAATCCATTAAACACATTATCTTCTTATTATATCATCCTGTTTTCTTTCTCTCTGTCTCTCTCTCTCTCTCTCAGTAATATGGAGTCTACCATTATCATCTCCTGTAATCGGAATGTATGCATTATGGTCACCATCGGATGATACATCATCCTCTGGTAGTATTCATGCAACACATGAACACAATAATAATAACAATCAGAATAACATAAATTCACAATTACATCAAACACCTTCCAATCATCATAGATTAAATGAAAAACTCGATGCCTCACAGAATTCCATTTTCACTAAATCAAACAATAAGCTGCATAACAATGATGATAATAGCAATAACAACAATAAAAAATCAATAAAAGAGACAACTAAACTACCACGAATATTGAGACGTATTGCATTTACCACTTATGCATTAGATTTACACAATGCATTAAATCTTACAGATGATCAAATTTATCATGCTATAGAAGCGAAATTTAATGGGACATTAGATTTAGCGTAAGTTCTCATGTTGTGTTGGCTTTTGATTTGATTTGTTATGCAAGCAACCATTTAATTGATTTTTGTGTTGTACACTTATCATATTTTTAACATTGAGTTGTCACACATTTTTGTTGTTATTATAAACTTCCGATTTTCTGATTGTTTAAATCAAGAGCCAATTGTCAATGGATATAGTTACTGAATAATTGATTGATGATTTCAAATGTGTAAAAACATTAATCTCCATAACTGTAATTGAAAATATCGTAAAATGTGCTCACTAGTGACTATTAGCTTCGTGAGGAAATTCTCGGAGTTCTAGTTGAGAAGACGTGACCAATGGAGTTCAACCCTGTCGGGTGTAGGCAGTAACTACCGAAGACAAATGGGTGAGGTCGCGCAAAATCTGTAGATCAATCAGAGTTAGACATTGACACCGTTGGATGCCTGCCCAGTGGTCCAATGGTTAGGCATTCGCTCATAATACCGAAGGTCCCGGGTTCGAATCCTGTGATGTGTAAGAGTCGTGGATGCACACTGCTGATGAGTAGTCTCATACTAGGACGAAACGGCCGTCTTTCAGTGCTTCCAGGTTTCTAATGGTGGTCTAACAATGATTGATTGATGATTTCAAATGTGTAGAAACACTAATCTCTATAACTCTAATTGAAAATAATTTACTATATCATGAGGTCCTTTTACCGAACTAAGTAGTCAATGTTGTGGTTTTCTGAAATCTAATACTAAGATTTCAACCCTTTACCATCCTCTCAAAGTTTGTTTATTTTAAAGATATCTAAGCAATTTATTATAGTCTCTTGTTGATGTGATGTTGTCCATCGACAGCCAAATGGTAGGTATACTGCTTAACTCTGTGTTATTCTATGATTGGATAACTTGACTGTCGTAGTTCGGGAACATGCTCACAATGTCAACATTTGACTTGCGTTTTTTTTCTCAAATCATAACTGGCCTGTGGTAAAACCATTGGCTAAACACTCTACTTTCTGATAGGTATATTAGGCTTCGAAGCTTGATTGACTGAGGTAGTTGAGATGCGTATTATAGAAATTTAGCCTCTGTTTACGTCGAAACGCAGTTCCAGTTACTTTATGAGTAGATTAAGAAATATTAGGCGCAGTCAAATTAGAACATTGCATTAATTCATAAAGTCATGCACAGTTAAACTTAACTGTGTTTATTGTCAATTTCAAATAAAAACTTCATTTCCAGATAATAAAAAGAACGTATTATTGTAATGCATTCATTCTTTATAAACTAGTTTTACAACAAAATAGCTTGAATATCACAGTGAATAAGGTACATTACTTATAAAGTGTTGAGAAAATAGAATGAACTGTAAATACTAAATATTCGCAAACTTTGTGCATGTTTTCAGTGGTGACGCTGATTTGTAGTATATATTTACAACTGGATTGGTCATAGATTATTTTTAAATGTCATATTTGTCTACTGCTTAAGTGTTGATTGAATTTTATCAATCAATTTATCTTGTGACCACTGGCCGAAATGATTGAACATTGCCTACACTATGTTGTTGTGATGTTCGATGAGTGAAGATAGTCTTCATGAGACTATCATAAAAGCTTTTGTGAAAATGACCTACCTATTGGGATATAGAGAAAAAGAATAAAAGCAAACATTTGTGTCATTGAAATACTGTCGGTTACTTTAAGTACTTACTCATATAATTAATTGTGTTCCTCACTTATATACTTTATATATATTGGTCTGTCCTCTTATCTCTTATCCATTGTCTAATATGTTCGTTAATTGATATACTTGAAACTATTACGAGTTCACCTTACTCGGTAAACGAAGCGCAGATAAATGATGCAGTGACACGATAGGCTATTCTAATCCGTTTGTCCTAGACCCTGCTAACTGGATCAAGAAGTCTTGATAAAGATGTAGAGAATGTATTCTACAAGCACCCAGAAAATACGGTAGTTGTCGACTACCTGACTGGGGTCCGCGAGATGATAATAATCGATGGTTAGATACCCTGAATGACATGGCTCAAAATCGTTCGCAATGGCGCCGGTGCATTTATTCTTTGTGTTGTCTCAAATCCTAATCTTCTGGATTCTTAAACAACTCTAGTTTCGTCTTTCTAAACTTTTCTCACTGAATCATACTTCTTGAATAGTATCTTCTAATCCTAACCTCTCCGATTACTTCTAATTCCCTTACTACCTCTTCTACTATTGGATTTGAATTGACAATTACATCTCTGTGCTGATGTGGTATGGCGACATGAACTGATGTACTTACGTTCAAAGTTCTACGTTGCGTCTGACTGACTGACAGAAAATACGAGGTTGCTAAGCACACAAATCAAGCTTACTTATACCGTGATAGAAACGCCCTTGGGAGAGCCACAAAATAGCGTACTAAAATAATCCGACAGTCAAGGATTTGCTAGTGGGAAATGTAAGCTGAAAGTCAACTAAGCGTCTTATGCGCAAAAACATTAAAAATATTCAAAATTAGGACCTTATCCAAGTGAGTTCTGAGGATCTAACGTCCCCTCCCCAACATTGTCCATTTAAACTGTTTATAAATACACTCATCAACTTGTACCTTAAATTGTGTAGTAAGCCAATTCCATGCTACATTTGTTCATTCATACTCTTTAAATCTGTTTACCAATATACATGTATGAAAAAATATGATATCCGCAATCCAATTTATCTTAGTCTTTTTTTTTAACATCACCTCGCCTGAAACGAGATTAACCTAATTAAAAAATTTACTTCAATCAATAAGGAATTATATTTCACCATAGTTAACTATATTTTATCATAATTTGTATGTACAATGTTAGTTAGTTTTTTAAGCTGTAAATGCAGTTTATAAATAAATAAATACTTATTTACTTTAAAATGTATTAATAATTGTGAGTGTTTTTATATTCTTCATTGTTTTCGAATTTGACAGACCATCATTATATATTGGACGTTCAAAATCAACTCCAGTCTATGCTTTAATGTGTTTAGCTGAGGCTACATTGAGAATACGTGGCTTACGTAGAACATCTGAAATGTATATGTTAGAAGGTCCAAAAAATTTAATCATTATGGATAATAATAATAATAATAATAATAATAATAATAATAATAATAATAATAACCATCATCGTAATCATCCACAAACAACTAATACTACACTAACTACTGATACAAACAATCCTAATAGTAATGATCATTATATGCATTACAATAGAGATAATTGGCCAATTGGTCTTATTGGTTTATATGAATTGCCTACAAATTATAAGAGAACAACAACAACAACATCGTCATCCTCATCGTCATCAGCATCATCATCATCATGGGATGTTGACGATGAGAATATCATGGATGATCAATCAATGTCTACACTGAAACGTGGCAAACGATTGAAACGTTTATCATCGGATTCATCTACAATGTAAGTTAATCGAAAAAAAAATTATTGCCTTATAAAATTTATGTTGTTTATTATTTAATTGATGTATAGGATTTGAATCGATCTATAGATAAAGTAGTGAAACTTCATCAGTTGAGATGGTTGGTAAATGTGTTGCGTATGCTTAACTACTGACTGCCTTGTCGAGCTATATTTTGCGGTGTAGGAATAGGTTAGAGGAAAGCTATGGAGGCGGCCAGACCAAAACATGGCACAAATCCATGGGATCACTAACTAGTGGATTGAGTCATGTTGGTAGATGTAGACTATCTGGTTGGGGTCCGCGAGATGATAATAGTCGATGCTTAGAGACCTTGAATGGCATGGGTCAAAATCGTTTGTAGTGGTGCAGGTGCATTTATTCTTTGTGTTCTCTCAAATCCCAAACTTTTTAATTCTTCATCAATTTATCTTTATCTTTTTAAGTCTATTTCGATAGATTCTACTTCTTGAATAATATCTTCTAATCCTAACCTCTCCGATCACTGCTAATACCTTTACTACCTCCACTACTGTTATATTTGAATTGAGAATTATATCTCTGTGCTGATGTGGTATGGCAACATGAACTGATGTACGTACCTACGAAGTTCTACTTTGCTATTGATTGATTGATTTAATCTATCTTATTACATAGCGATTGAAAGTATTCATTAAAACACAAGTCGTTTGTACCCTAGTACAGCTGGATATATATGCCATCGTTAAGTGATTAAAATCATAGTTTGTTTTCACCTAACAAATCACATGTGTTTTTCTCAATCATTAATTTGTTTAATAAGTCTTACTTACAACTTACTTACACCTGTTACCCTCAATGGAACATAAGCTGCCGACCAGTTCTCTCCAACCTTCTCTACGTTCTGAACTTCCCTTTCCAGTTTCTTTCAATCTTTTTTCATTTTTCTTATATCTTTCTCTACTTTTCGTTGTAATGTGTTTCTTGGCTTTCCTCTTCTCCTTTGACCTCGAGGGTTTCAAGTGAGGGCTTTTCTTGTGGCGCAGTTGAGTGCTTTCCGCAGTCTATATCCTGTCCACTACCAGCGCTTTTTCCTGATTTTCTCCTCCTGCTCTGAAATCTGGTTTTTTGTTTCCCACAGTAGGTTGTTGTTGATGGTGTCTAGCCAACGGATCCGAAGTTTTTTTTGGTAGGCAACTTGTATCTTCTGGATGATGGCCTTCGCGGTTCTCCAATTTTCTGCCCCATACAGTAGAACTGTCTTGACATTTGTATTGAAAATCCTGATTCAGGTGTTGATGGATATTTGTTTGGAGTTCCAGATATTGTTCACTTGTAGAAATATAGCCCTTGATTTGCCGATCCGCGCCCTTACATCTGCATCAGATCCAGTTTGATTGTCGATGTTGCTGCCGAGATATGTAAAGGTGTTAACGTCCTCCAAGAAGTGTCTATCAAGAGTGATTTGGTTGGCACATGGTGTGTTGTATCAGAGGATCTTACTTTTCCCTTTATGTATGTTGAGACCTGCTGCTGCAAGAATCCCAAATATTTGTCGTAATTACGAGTAGCTTGTGTTACTTCTAATGCACATGACTTAATTACCGATTACAGGTTTAGTGTGCATGGCTTTAAAATTACTTTGCTTTTTTTTTTGCAGAATGATAACTGTAATACGAAAAAAAATTCAAAAAGAATTTAAGGGTTTGAACCCCATTGCACACTGGTTCAACACTAATACCTCTCAAATAACTTTATTACGGTTCAATAGAAAAGTTGACTGATTAATCTTTGATTAGAGATCATTAATGTTTGTAGAATAATTAATTGTAAGATGATAACGAATGAAGATGTGGTTAGTAATAATTCACATTAAATTACAAGAATGTTTATTAGTTTTTTGTTGGTAAATTAATTAAATCTCTTTTCCTTTTTTTTTTAATTTTTGACTTGAGTTAAAAGGTTAAAGGTTACACAACTCTCTTTGATTTCATTTGATTAGTTTGAATATGATAATAATGTTTTATTAATGTACATATTATTCTATCTTCAATTCCTTTTACACTAACCTAGTTGAACTACATGTAGAGGGGATTTGTTTAGGAATTTTCAAAGAAAAGGTCAAATTGATTTTAAATGATCTTTTTAGCAGATTCACTTATAAAATTTGTTTCACTCTTATGAAAGGAAACTTTTAAACATTCTTAAGTGATAACATCTCATCTAATTCATTATTTTGTCTAGTCTAGAATCTACAATTTAATTTACACTTAGTAAATAAATAAGGGTATTGTAGATTAACTGTGTCGGATATATGTAACAGTGATTATCTGCCAATTCACTGGCAGAGTATTAAATCATTTCAACTAAGTCTATAAATACTCTATTCATAACATAATAGTATCAATGGATGGATTCCGATGTGGTAACTGCATGTTTATGATAAGTACACTAAATAATAAACTGTAGATCTGATTCACTGACAGATTCTAATAAAGTTGGACTAAATTTACAGGGCAAACTAGAACACATGAGAAAAGGTGAGGGGGGGCGTGAAAATAACGCTTTACCCTACGGTTAGTTTATGTACAGAAAAATGAAGGCATTTACAGAGTTACACATGAGCGTGCCACATACCATACCACATCTCTGGACTAATGTGGTATGGCAGTTTGAACTGATGTTCGTATGTATGAAGTTCTACGTTGCTGTTGATTGACTGATTGACACACGACCTTGAACTTCCGGAAGATTCTGAAATCATGCCAATTATAGTACTGGTATGGATAAATATTCAACCAAAAACTTAGCATCTAGATGCTTCTCCGAAGGTTCTTCTGGGCTCTGATTGAATAAGACGTTTTCAAGCGTCTTTGGGGCCCTTATAGACTCTTTCCAAGAAATTCTTCGAAATTACCCATAGTTTATTTTACTAGTAAGATTAATAGGAAAATATACCAACTAGTGAAGTAGCATTTGTTCTGTGTGATTAATTTCAAGCATTTTGGAAAATCCCGTGCCTACATTATATAGTCAGCATAATTAGTTATGTAGTTGAAAAAATCGCAAATATACAACTGGAAAATAGGTGACTAAGGAATTAACCAATCAACGGCATCGTAGAACGTTGTACGTACATCAGTTCAAGTTGCTATACCACATTAGCACATTGAGATAGAATTGTCAATTCAAATCCCATATTAGTAGAGGTAATAAAAGTAGGGTTGGAGGATATTATTCAAGAAGTAGAATCTAGTGAAATAAACTTAGAAGAAAAAGATAAAGATTTAAGAGAACACAAAGAATGAATGTACCTACATCATTGCAGATGGTTTTGAGCCATGTCATTCAGGGTCTCTAACCATCGATTATTATAATCTGGCGTACCCCAACCAGGTAGTCGACACCTACTAACATGACTTAGTCCACTTGTCAATGACTTCATGGATTTATGCGATGTTTTGGCTTAACCGCCCCTAGCTTTCTTGCAACCTATCCCTACATCGCAAAACATAGCTCGACGAGGCAATCGGTGGTTATGCATACAAACCACATTTCCCGACCATCTCAATTGAAGAAGTTTCAAAACTTCATCTATCCTTACTAAGGACTCGTTTCCTAACAACATCATTGCTTACTCGGAAATATGAACGAACTGCCTCAGTGTAATCTTCTATTAAAACGTCATTTAACGCATGAGAAAATTAGCTTAATTTATGATGTTGTAAACTCTTTTTGTCCACATTGTTTTTTTTTCTCATATCATTTATTAGAATTGAGAATATTTTAGAAAATTTAACAGGATAATTAGACAATAGAAACCATTGTTTCATTTTATCACTATAAATAAAAATTAACCAATTAACTTGTTTACATCAGAGTTATCATCTTAAGCTCCGTGTGTGTGTGTGTTTGTGTGCGTATTTACATTTGGTTGAATTTATTTCTTATACACACTACATTCTATTGTCTCATATAAAATGACATCTACATGTAGTATAAACATGTAAGTGTACATTTTCAAAAAGAAAAAACTAATAAAAACTCACAATTTGTTGTCTTGGTTACATAGTTGAACAAATATGAAGCAGTGACTTATTGAAGCATAACCTGCATTCAGTTAAGCATGTTACTCTAATTCGTTTCTTTTCCTACTTATATTTGTTTACTAATTCATTCACTTTGGTGTACAGTCACTCTGAGACACTTATGTTTAGTGTTGTTTCACTAAATATTATTACCTACCACCTCTCTGAACTCAACTGGCATGAAATTGATTGTTCCACATTGAAGTCATCAATCAATCAATCAATCATTGTTAGACCACCATTAGAAACCTGGAAGCACTGGGCAGCCGTTTCGTCCTATTATGGGACTTATCATCAGTGCACATCCACCAATCCTGCCCCTCGCAGGATTTGAACTCAGGACCTTCGGTGTTGCGCGCGAACGTCTAACCTCTGGACCACTGGGCCGGTATCCAATGGTGTTAATGTCTGACTCTGATTGATCTACAGGTTTTGCGCGACCTCATATATTTGTCTTTGGTACTTACTGCCTACACCCAACAGGGTTAGAATCCACTGGTCAAGTCTTCTCACTAGAACTCCGAGAATTTCCACACGAAGCTTTTAGTCACTAGTGAGCACATTTTACGATTTTTTCTGTTAGAGTTATGGAGATTAGTGTTTGTTGCACATTGAAATCATCAATCAATTATTGTTAGACCACCATTAGAAACCTGGAACTACTGGATGTCCGTTTCGTCCGGGTATGGGATTCATCACCAGTGCGCATCCACGACTCCTGCCCCTCGCAGGATTTGATCCCAGGAACTTCGGTCTTGCACGCGAACGTCTAACCTCTGGACCACTGAGCCGTCATCCGTTGATATTAATCAAATTGATTGTCTATTGATTGAAGAATATCTGTTTATACTTGTCTCGAAAAAAAGATGCTGGACGTGTAATGAATTATGTTTAAGAGTAATTTAAAAAATATTGCTTATCGTCAAAGTATAATTTTTTGTTCAAATTTTACCTAGTGCATACTTGTGTTATAACAGTCTTTTCTTAGAATATGTCAACATTGTCTATGCGTATTATGAATTACTGTCCTTCAATCTCTTGTCGTACAGTTGAAGCGTTTGATTCTGAACTATTTGTAGTCTCCGATTCAAGCTTCATTTCAATCTGGTCATTCTAATTAACTCTTCAGCGAAAGCATAACTCTAAACCTGCTCTATGAACTTCTACTTGTTAAATAAATTATAGTTCTTTGAACTATATCGAATTTTGATATGAATCATAACTTTTTACAACATTCATCGTTTGTTTCCCATATTTTTTTTTCCGAAAAAAAAATAAATAGGTGGGCTGTCATTGTACCTCCACCAAATCCTGTAACAAATCCAACAGAATCTGTAAATTCTACAAAAATCACTGTTATCAATACACACATCAAAGAGATTGATAATTATTCTGGAAATAAGCATAAAAAAATCATGTCTACTAATAAATTACTATGGTACATGTCAATGCTCTTCACTGTTTTGTGTATATTTTCTGTGTCTATATACTTTGTCAACAATTTTATGCAATCTAATACAACAAGCCATTTAACATTAATTACACAATTTAAAACAGTTTTAACAAATTTCAATATTGTATACGATGTCATTTCGAAATCATACACTACACATATTGACACAAAGAATAATCATCCATCAACAAGTACATTTAGAACAAAAACGGATCTATCAAAGGTAACAAGTTCCATGGTAGCAGGTCTACTTCCATCTCATTTTGATACACCAGATTCTACTGGTTGGGCTGGGTGTTCAGCACAAGAAGCTGGTCAACCGGAACCAATTCGTTTTAATTTGAACAAAGTTTTAGGTCATGGTGCAAATGGTACTATGGTTTTCGCGTAAGCATTTATTTTGTAAATATTTTCATTGTATCGTAATGTAACTTACTTATTGAATTATTGATTTTTTTGTGTGATAATAGTCATTTGTTCATATGGGGTTAGCGGTGCAGTCAGATAAGGGAATGTGAGTAGAGTTAGTTGTGGAGAGAAGAGAGGTATGTGTGGGTGTAGGAAGGATTTGATTTTGACCAGTTTGGTCTCTCGTGCTGTTACGGGTATGAGGGCGGTTGTTACTTCCCGGCTGCCCACACCGTGGAAGGTTGTTTCTTGAGGGACCTGAAAAAGAAGGTAGATTAGTGTTGATCTTGGAGACCTGGGAGCGTGACCACAGAGTCCAAGGGACAACTGCTTGAGGCCGGTCACGCACGGCCTTTTGATGAAAGGCTTTTTGAGTATTAGCTCCGCTCTTAAAGGCCCTTAGTGGGCACCCTTACCGCCGGAGACGGAAATCCGTGAGGTAGGGTGAGGTGTGACATTTTTAGGGCCGACCTTTTCTAACCCTTCCTTCCTTGTGAGAAGGCAGCATCGCTGCAGATGCTGGTTGTCCGAAGGAAACCCCCTACTGCTGTCACACTCCTCTACAGTTATCAGTACGACTTCACCCTCAGACTTTGAGTAGCGACTTATAGTCTCATTGTTCTCCAATCAACCTGTCGGACATGGTAGAACCTTGAGGAACATAAGTTCCAGCCAATATAGCTCAGTTGGGTCATCACGACAGGCAAGCCCGACCACCACATCAAGGTAGCAGCTACGGTCGGGGTTTTGTAGTGGGTGCTTTCATATCTAGCTTACGGGGTTCGTCCTAGCTTTTGGACAAATTAATTAACCTACTTGTTTTTTGACCTTGTCAGTTATTCGCTTGTATTTGTGTTGCTTTTATTCATGTGTTTGTGCACGTCTATCTCGCTCATTACATGTCTGGTTTATTTTTGTTGGACTATAAATTCTTAGCCATGCTTCATCGAATCGAATTGGTTCATTCGCCTTCTCCGCCTTGCTTCGCTTGTATCCTTTTCATTGTCATATCTGTATGAACGATTGCCTGAAATGAAGTCATCCAACCGGATCTGTATTAGGCTTCTTATTACCCCCGACGCACAAACGGGGTTCGCTTAAGTACAATATACAGAGACTGATGGAGAGATTTATTTCATAGCATATTGAATCATTCATAAATATTGGATCGTGGGCCACCAAAGTAGTGAGACTTACATTGAATCTAATATAGCTACAAAAGTGGTGACTTCGACGCTGTACTTAACGCAGCCAACAGTATAAGCATTCATATTTAGGTCTAACAACTTTTTATATTATTTGCCGATGACGTGATGCTCTTCGCAGAGACCACTGCGGGGATGCAAGTTAAGCTTAACTCGTTAGCGGATGCCCTCAGTCAGTCAGTCAGTCAGTTGCAACGTAGAACTTCGTACGTATGTACATAAGTTCATGTTGCCATACCACACTATTAGCACAGAGACGCAAATGTCAAATCAAATCCCATAGTGATAAAGATGGTAGAGGTATTAATGTTATAATAAAGAAGACTAGGGTTGAAGATATTATTCAAAAAATATAATTTAGTGAGATAAGGTTAGAAAGACAAAGGTAGAGGTGCTGGCTAACCCAGAAGATTAGGGTTTGAGAGAGCTCAAAGAGTGGATGCACCTGCGCCATTGCAAGCGATTTTGAGCCATGTCGTTCAAGGTCTCTAACCATTGATGACTTTCGTCTCGCGGACCCCAACCAGGTAGTCTACATCTACCAACATGACTCAGTCCACTTGTCAGTGACTTCATGCATTTCTGCCATGTTTTGGTCTGGCCGCCCCTAACTTTCTTCCAACCTACTCCTACACCACAAAACATAGCTCGTCGAGGCAGTCGGTGGTTAGCCATACGTAACACATGTCCCAACCACCTCAACTGATGAAGTTTCACCACTTCATCGATTGATCTGCCATCCTTACCTAGTACTCGTTTCCTAACGACAGCATTGCGTACTCGGCTGTCCCACGATATACGAGCAATGCTTCTTAAACATCTATGATCGAATACAAGTAACCTACGAACATCTTCTACTCTTAACGGCCATGTTTCACAGCCATATAAGAGAACGGAACGAACTGCTGCACAGTACACCCGCCCTTTGGTTAGCGAACGGATATCACGCCTACGCCATAAGTGACGCAAGTTGGCAAAAGCCAATCGAGCCTTCTGTATCCGTGCCGAGATTCCGTCAGTCACCTGACCGTCAGCACTGATGAGACTCCCCAGATAAGTGAAGTGATTAACACGCTCGACTACTTCACTCCCTATCACTAGTTCAGGTGCCGATGCAACCCAGTTTTGAAGCAACATTTTGCATTTCGAGGGGGAAAACCGCATCCCGAACATGCTTGCATTGTTGCTTATGGTAGTCAGAAGACTCTGCATTTTGTCAGCGTCTTCACCGAATAGAACTATGTCATCGGCATATTCTAGATCAGTAAGCGACTTTCCTGGTAGAAGGTCAACCCCTGAAAAATCTGACGAGCTTAATGTTAACTCTAAGAGGATGTCTACGACAAAGTTAAACAAGAATGGAGAGAGTGGACAGCCCTGACGGACACCACTTGATGTAGAGAATTCAGATGACAGTTCGCCATATGCTCTCACCCGACCAGTGGTGTTCGAGTAGAGTGCTTGTATAAGGTTAATGTACTTCTTTGGTATACCTTTCAATGACAGACACTGCCACAGAACCTCACGATCCACTGAGTCGAATGCCGCCTTAAGGTCCAGGAACACGACTATTGTCGGACGTCTAAATGTGTGTCTGTGTTCCAGGACCTGTCGTAGTGTGAAGATGTGGTCTATACAACCACGTCCAGGTCGAAAACCAGCCTGGTTTTCTCGAGTCTGCTCTTCGCGAGCTCTAGTTAGACGTCTAAGTATAATCGAGGCTAACAATTTAGAAACTATATTAGTTAAACTTATTCCCCTGTGATTGTCACAAGAGGACTTCTGTCCTTTCTTATAGATTGGGACAATTAGCGACTGAGACCAGTCAGATGGGATTACGTCCATTTCCCAGATTCTACCTAGGATCTCGGTCAGTTTAACCGTTAAAACTGGACCACCATCCTTAAACATCTCAGGGGTAAGCCTATCGGGACCTGCCGCTCTACCTCTCCTTAGATTTCCTATAGCTTTCTCAACTTCATGTAAACTGGGAGGACTTAAATCGATTTGCCATTCAGGATGACTGGAGATCGTGGGCAACCGAAGAGTGGCTGAAGGCCAGTTGAACTGATCCCTAAAGTGTTCTGCCCATCGGTCCAGCCTCCTAGATTGAGAATGGATAATAAGACCATCCTTTTCCGAGATAGTCTCACTCACATTCGGGTTCCTAATACCGGTTTCTTTGATAAGGCGGAAAAGTTGTCTAGTGTTGCCTATCGCCGCTGCCTTTTCCATCGCTTTTGCTTTCGCCACCCACCACTGTTCACGGTCGTTACGTAGGCTTTTTATAAGTCTGCACCTAAGCTGACTGCGCTCTTCATCATGTTCAGAGTCAGGTGGGATGCGTTTTCGAGCATCCATTAGTTCGGTGGATGCGACTGAAATCCACTGCTTCATCCTAGCATTGTGGTTTACCTTGCTAGCAGATACCATTGCTGTTTCCACAGCCTTCTTGATATGATTCCAACCTGCTTCAGGATGGGAATCACCTGCATGGCCGCCTAACTGTTTTTCTAGTTCCTCCTGAAATATTTTCTTAGCTTGATTATCATCAAGTAAAGCCCTAAGAGGCTTCCTTACGGTGTCTTTCCTACGTCCAGCAAGCCTCAAACTAATACGTGCTCGCACTAGGGCATGATCTGAATCTAAACATGTGCCCCAGAACGAGCGACAGTCCTCTATCGAACCCCTCCATCGGTGGCTGTTGGCGATATGATCTAGTTGTGTCCAACGTTGAGACGACTTCGGGGGTCGCCAGGTCAAAAGATGTTTTTCCTTATGCTTAAAATTAGTGTTTGCTAGAAATAGTTGGTTATCTGAGCACAGTTGCAACAGACGGTCGCCATTGTCTGTTCTTTGAGCCGCGAGACCGTAACATCCACCTAGGTGTCTTTCATTTTCACTTAGTCTACCTACTTGTGCATTGAAGTCACCAGCCATTATAACTATATCAGAGCGCTTAACTTTTTGGAGGAGGTCCGAAAGCTTTCTGTAAAACTCATCTTTTACATCATCTGGGCTGCAGTCAGTGGGGGCGTAGGCTGATATGACGAAGAGGCAACGGCGAGTGTCCCTATCTTTCCGAGTCCTTACTGTCCCGTTCAGTCGGACGGCGCACAAACGACTATCTACAGGGATCCAGTCAAGGAGAGATTGTTCTGCCCTACGACTCAATGCTATACCTACACCGGCGAGGCCCCTAGAAGCAGCATCAGGGCTACCGGATACACGAAGGGTAAATCGAGCTGCTTCTTTATCTTGACATGGTGAGATCAAATGAGTGATGCTACTCGGATCCTGTATGCGCGTTTCCGAGACGCAGCACACATCAATTGAGCGAGATTCTAATGTTCTAGCTAATGATGCCTGTTGCCCTATTTGACACAATGTCCGTACATTGAATGCTCCAACATGTAGTTTGGAACGGGGTTTAAGGAGACCAGGAACGACGTTTCGCAAACTCGCATCGTTTGCATTAGCTGTGCACTGTAATAAATGAATGTGAGAAGAGTTAGTTGTGGAGGTAAGAGAGGTATTAGGGAATGTAGGAAGGATTTGATTTTGAACAATTTTGTCTCGTGTGCTGTTGCGGGTATGAGGGCGGTTATCACTTCCCGGCTGCCCACACCGTGGAAGGTTGTTTCTTGACGAACCTGAAAAGGAAGATGGATTAGTGTTGGTGCGTGACCGCAGAGTCCAAGGGACAACTGCTTCAGGCCGGTCACGCACGGCCTTTTTATGAAAGGTATTTAGAGGATTAGCTCCGTTCTTAAAGGCCCTTAGTGGGCACCCTTACCCAAGGAGACGGAAATCCGTGAGGTAGGGGAGGTGTGACATTTTTAGGGCCGACCTTTTCTAACCCTTCCTTCCTTGTGAGAAGGCAGCATCGCTGTAGATGCTGGTTGTCTGAGGGAAACACCTTACTGCTGTCACACCCCTCTGCAGTAGTCAGCAGTACGACTTCGCCCTCAGACCTTGGGTAGCTGCTTTTAGTCTCATCGTTCTCCAATCGACCTGCCTGGCATGGTAGGACCTGCAGGAACATGTGTTCCAGCCAGTATAGCTCGGTTGGGTCATCACGATAGGCAAGCCCGACCACCACGTCAAGGTAGCAGCTTCGGTCGGGAACCTCATACAAGCTCTCTATTCGAACACCATTGGTCGAGTGAGAGCTTATAGCGAACTGTCACCGGAATTCTTCACTTCAATTGGTGTCCGTCAGGGATGTCCACTCTCTCCATTTCTAGACATGCTCCTAGAAATAACCTTATCCTCGTCTGAATTTTCTGGAGTAGACCTTTTACCTGCTAGCTAGCTTATTGACTTAGAATATGCCGATGACATTGTCCTACTTGGTGAAGACGCTGACAAAATGCAGAGTCTTGTGACTACCCTAAGCAACAATGCAAGCGTGTTCGGAATGCGGTTTTCCCCCTCGAAATGCAGTGTTGCTTCAAGATTGGGTTGCATTGGCACCTGAACTAGTGGTAGGGAGTGAAGTAGTCGAGCGTGTTGATCACTTCACTTATATTGGGGGTCTCATCAGCGCTGGTAACTGACGAAATCTCAGCTTGGATACAGAAGGCTCAATTGTCTTTTGCCAACCTGCGTCACTTATGGCGCAGGCGAGATATCCGCTTGCAAACCAAAGGACGAGTGTACTGCGCAGCAGTTCGCTCTGTCCTTCTATAAGGATGCGAAACATGGCCGTTAAGAGTAGAGGACATTCTTAGGTCTTAGTCTTCGATCATAGGTGTATCCGAAGCATTGCTCGTGTATCCTGGGACGATCGAGTAGGCAATGCTATCGTTAGGAAACGAGTTCTATGTAGGGATGGCAAATCAATAGATGAAGCATTGAAACTTCATCAGTTGAGGTGGTTGGGACATGTGTTACGTATGGCTAACCACCGACTGCCGCAACGAGCTATGTTTTGTGGTGTAGGAGTAGGTTGGAAGAAAGCTAGAGGCGGCCAGACCAAATCATGGCAGAAATCCATGAAGTTATTGACAAGTGGACTGAGTCATGTTGGTAGATGTAGGCTATCTGGTTGGGGTCCGAGAGGCGAAAGTCAACACTGATTAGAGACCTTGAACGACATGGCTCAAAATCGTTTGCATTGGTGAAGGTGCATCCACTCTTTGTGTTCTCTCTAATTCTAACCTGAATTCCTCATAATCCCTATCTTTCTCCTTCTAAATATATCTCATTGAATTGTACTTCTCGAATCATATTTTCGCTTCCTGATCTTCTCGATTACTGCTAATACTTCTACTATCGCTATCACTCTTGGATTTGAACCGACAGTTGCATCTCTGTGCTGATGTAGTATGGCAACCTGAACTGATGTACTTACGTACGAAGTTCTGCGTTGTATCTGTCAGTAATATGGGCCTGAAGGTAAGTCCTCTCGGTGCGGTGGTTTGTAGCGCTTCAAGAGTTGGAGTTTCTTGCGGACTTCCGCCTCATTAGATTGGTTAGTCTGATCGATGTTCCCCAGCTAGTAGACCAGCTGAACTGTTCCTCGAAAAAATATCCATCGCCAAAGACATCGGATAATCTTATTGACTGGCCTCTCATCAGCTTCAGGGACTGTTTCACTCACATCAGACTTCTTGCCAACAATGACTCCAATGAGTTGGAAGAGCTTCTGGCCGTTACTAGATGCAGCTGCTGCTTACTACTCTTTATTACGCTCCAATAACCGGGTTTCTTGTTCGTTTGCTCTACATTTATGTGGGGTCATGCAGTTGCAACCAGTGCGACTAAATGCTTGTAGTCAGACAATAATAGGCTCTACATGTAATGAGCGAGTAAGCATGCATACATGCTCTCAAATATAAAATAGTTGATGCTGTTATCTATTTATTACAAATATAAAAATGTCGATGCTATTAATGAATTATTTAAACGGCTAATCATAAATAAAATGGTGAGGTTCTATAGTTCGACCTGCATTGGTGTTCAAACATTGAAGAAAACCTATTTGAATGGTATACGTTATTTCAGAAAGGCTGTATTATTCCTTCAAGTTTCAGTAGGCCAAAATATGCTTCAACAACAGACCGATATTGCGTGTCGATGTTATATGTTGACATAAATGTACCTGACTATAATTAAGAGCGAAGGATAGTTTATTTAGCCAGACTTGAAATATTGGTTTAAAATTATCCCGATGAAAACTAATACTTTAGTTTTGTGATTTTAGCTACGAAGATTCTACATATCATTATGGTTGATACTTTTGCTGAATGTGATTTATTGGTGTTGTTTGATAGCTGCTATCTCTTATGGACACTTCTTGGCAGATGCGTCATCAGATAAGGTAGGTTTTTTCTTCTACTGACATTATTTTCTTATATAAATGAACAAGCTTACTACGGGTAGTACTGCTACATCGTAGTTGTGGTTAAAGAACTAAATTATCATGAAGATCTAGGTATCATGATATTGTTTACTACCCAATAGACCTCTTACTTCATAACGATAGGCTATAAAATTTCGTTGCTAATTTTAACTGTTTGGTAATGCTAGGATCTCGATTTTATAAAGTAAAGATAATTGGAGTTATAACACGAGATACATTAATTTTATTGACACCTAACCTTAGTAGAATGAAAGAAAAACCTAAGTAATCTTGAAATATTTAAAAACATGGGAAATATTTGTATCAGTACAATTGTTTTTTGCGTTACACCAACCCAAATAACATAGACCTCTTCATTTTGCACCTTATCTTGCATGGGAAATTTTTCTTCGGTATTGTCGTATCCCTCACCTTTGTCCAATATCACGTGAAAAACAAAAAACACCAATCAGAATTACGTTTAGCACCAGGAGCCTTGAGTCAGCTCTAAATCCTTATCGGTCTTCAACTCGATAACTTCTTTCCTCCTACTCTGCCTCTTAGTTCAGAAGTCCGCAGTTTGTCCCCACAAAATTCGTTGTAATTCAAGCAGACAGTTTATATACCACAAATACCATATCTCACCGGTGACCAGTGTAGTTCAACCCTGTCGAGTGTAGGCATTAACTACCGAAGACAAAGGGTGAGGTTGCGTAAAATCATCAGGTTGATCAGAGTTAGAAATTAACACCGTTGGATGCCGGCTCAATGGTCTAGAGGTTAAGCATTCGCACGCAAGATCGAAGGTCCTGGATTCGAATCTTCAGAGTAGCAGGAGTAGTCAATGGGCACTGCTGATGAGTCCCTAACCGGGACGAGACGGCGATCCAGTGCTCCCAGGTTTCTAATGGTGATCCGACAATGATTTATTCATGACTTCAGGGTAGAGTGACGATCTTCATCATTCTATCTCTTACGGATATAGCAGATATGTTATTAAGATGTTCGGAATTTCCGCTGAGTGTCTCACCAGTTTAAGTTTGCAACGTTTGCCTAATTAAAAGAACTAGAAAACCTGCATGAACTTATTAATAACTGAAGTAACATTTTTTGAATTCTTGGATCAATAGAAACTTCTTTATCGTATTTAATATTTTCCATGCACTAGCTAATTATTAAAGTGTATATCAAAACACCTATTAGTTATAACTTTGCGCGAAAGCATAACATTTTGAAAATAGTTTTTCACAACCAGCTGATATCTTTCGAATAAGTACTGTTAGTCATTAACCAGTGAAACGTCGTTTTGTCACAACCAAGAGTCCTCAGCAATGATATCTCTCATCAAGTTTAAGGTTATGAAATCCCCTAATAACCACTTTACAATTGATCCAGAGGGTTACAAATTAGCGGTTTGTATTCGTCAAATAAAAACACATCTGTTGCGTAAGTAAACTCACGTTTGTATATTCTACTTTTTGCTACATTTACTGCGTAAAAGTTTGGCATATTACCCAAGTTATCGAATGGAAATGGGTGTAGTGATATTCGAATCCATGTTCCGATGATCGCTGTTGAACATAATTCATACGTTTTTATAGTCCTTCCGCTTGTGTCATTTCAAGAGTTTTTTTTTCTAAAACAACCTCAATTTAATCAAACCCCCTAAAGTCAATAATTCGCGAAATTCTTCCTCTTCTGTTCAATTTTTTTAGATTTCCAATTCACATATAGTGACAAGAGTTTTTACAGCTGTGAATTCTGGCCTTTCATTAATTCCCTGTTTCACAGGTTTAATACTGTACAGTCGTCCTGTTCTTAGCAGATATCAGCATATCCGGTGTTGTTATTCATTGATTCAACGATTTGGTTACTCTTCACATTATAGACGTTTTTCAGAAGGCCAAAATCAATTTGACAGCATTAGTTCTGTTAGCGAATGATTTTCCTTATCACACCAATGTGTCTTTATTTATAATTTCGCTACAATGTTTTTTTACTAATGCCAACATTTTTGTTAAAAATAAATAATCAGTTCAATTCTATATTTTATGCATATGTTTATGTAAAACTCCTTAAACACTATTCATTACCATTTATAAAAAAAAATCTCAAGATTTTCTCATTTATATGCGTTAATTTTACTTATCATATTCTGAATAAGAAAATGTACAATAAATCTCTCAACTATATGCCGAAATCATCCTATTTAACAAAGATTTTTGGAGTTGGACGATTTTAATTTTGTAATTATTTTCTAATATATTTTCAAGGTTTTTTTTGCAATCAACGTACTTAATTATCTTACAAGTTTATTCTCTATCTTTTATCCCTGATCTTTTCCATTACCGTCAATATTGCCAGAACTATGAGATTTGACTTGACAATTTCATCTTTCTGTGCTAGTGCTGCAGTACGACAATTTGAACTGATGTACGTGAATACCAAGTCCTTCTACGTTATAGCTGACTGACTGACTGCAATTTGCTCAATTTTATCTCATTCATTTTTCTTTCATTGTTTGTAATTCATATTGTGTAAAATCATCCAGTTTTCTGCGATCACCAGTTAGATTAATATATTATTTACTGAAAGCGTTATTATTATTTATTTAGTAAAACTATGGAGCCAACATGAAATAAATTTAAAATTTAGTGATCCTACAGAAAATGATATGCTCCCTAAGAAATTTGAACAAAACCACATGAATTCCGGGGTTTTAAATTTGAAACGCTTTACGAAGTATCTTAATTTCGATAAGTAGATGAATAGCGTAGTAGGATTTTTTTCATTTCTGTCATTTATACTGGTATAGCATGTATTATTATGAACAATTATGAAAAGATTTTGGAATAATTTTCAAGATATGAATTATTTTATTCAGTCTAACCATTAAATAACATGTGGTAGTTGTTAATCTCTTTACTTCATCATACTTTGTTAATTGCACTGACACATTCAAACTTTCGTATTCTTATACGCTTCAGTTATTTGAAGATTTCTTCAAGTATGTTGTATCCCGAAATGCTGAGAATGGTTTGTCAGAGGTTAATTTTCCTAAAATTTCTGGTATCTAGTGTCTAACGGCCAATATTTAGAAAATGTACGTTTTAGAAATATTAGTTGGCAATCTACTTTAGTTCGTATATTATATACTACTCAATTAATGACAGTAGTATATCTAAAACTGAAATTAATGAAATTTTTTTTTATCCACTAATGGTAGATCTCAGAGAGATTTTGTCAAGTTATAGTAATAACCGAAGAAAATCATATTTAAGTATTCTATCCGTCGTAATATTCATCACACATTATTAAGAATTGTAAGATACCTTTTTTTATTCATTTTCTTAACCTGTGATGAGATTGGGATTGTTTTTAAATGTTAGCCAAGCATTATTGGATCCGTCATTACCTTAAGGACTTGATGAAATCCAGATAGAACTAAATTATAATAAGAATATTTACTTATTATGTCACAGATTTCAAATTTAAGGAATTCCTGGCTTACTTATTTCACAACAAGAAGTTCAAAGTTTTATGACCAATCATCAGTAGGATCTCTTCCGCTTTCCAAATATGATTTACATTTTCTTAGCAGTTGTTGAAAGTTTATGTGTGTCTGAGTTCAAATGCATGAAGAAAACATTTAATACTCATTCTGTTGGCACAGTGAACAATACTTTCTTTGGTATGTGTCTCTGTTTACTAAACTTGTTATCTATCTACATTGACAAATATTCCTAATGATAGAAATTATTATAAACTTGAAATACTCCCAATAGTATCCTTCTTGAAATATTTGAGATAATATTAACAGTAGATGTGTGAATATGTGGATAAACCAGTGAACAGAATCTCACCGACCATTTCCCAGCAGTCGCATTGCATTACGCCTGTTACCCCCAGTGGAGCATAGGCCAAAAACCAGTTTTCTCCAAACAACTCTGTCCTGGGCTTCTCTCTCCAGTTCTGTCCAATGTTTGCTCATTCCTCTCATATCTTTCTCTATTTCTCGGCGTAGTGTGTTCCTTGGCCTTCCTCTTTTCCTTTTGCCTTGAGGGTTCCATGTGAGGTCTTGTCTCGTGACGCAGTTAGGTGCTTTCCACAATGTGTGTCCTATCCTCTTCCACCGCTTCTTCCTGATTTCGTCCTCCACTGTAATCTGGTTTGTCTTCTTCCACAGTTCGTTGTTGCTGATGGTGTCTGGCCAACGAATACGAAGTATTTTGCATAGAAAACTGTTCATAAACACTTGTATCCCAGCAGTTATTGAAGACAAAATCAATAACTATATGAGAGAATCACTAATAATTCAATAATAAGTGAATTTTCTCAATCTGTAATGTAATCATTCAGTCTTAACGTATGATTCACTTTACTTGTTCATTCAACTACACTGTAACGAAAAGAAAACCTTGAACTGGTTATGTGCATGAATGATTATCATAATATTTTATTGTATTTTTATTCTTATATCTTTGTTTCATTATGGTACAGAATAGTACATGTTAATAAACTGATAATTGATGAAAAGATAAAGGTGTTAATGTCTAATTCTGATCAATCTAGATATTTTACGCCACTTCACCCATTTGTCTTTGGTAGTTACTGCCTACACCCGACAGAGTTGAACTTCACTGGTCAAGTCTTCTTACTAGAACTCCGAGAATTTCCTCAAGAAGCTAGTCACTGGTGAGCACATTTTACGACTTTTTCAATTGGAGTTATAGAAAGTGACTACCAAAGATTGATCAGAATTAGACATTAACACTGCTGGATGCCGGCAGAGTCGTCCAGAGGTTAGGCATTCGCGCGCAAGACCGAAAGTTCTTGGTACGAATCCTGCGAAGTGCAGTAGTCGTTGATGCGCGCTTATGATGAGTCCCATACCAAGACAAAATGGCAGTCCAGTGCTTCCAAGTTTCTAATGGTGGTCTAACAATGATTGATTAATGATTACAATGTGTAAAAACACTAATCACCATAACTTTAACTGAAAAGATGAAGAATGTTCTATGAAGAAAGTTTTCTTCTTGATGATGATATCATTTACACAGCCATACAATCGTAGTTATTTTTAAGTTAACATATGTAGTAATAGACTTTGTTTGAATTGTTACGTGAATTATTTTTTTTGGCTAGCGTTTTTTTTAGCGAGTTATTTTTCTATGAGATGGGGTCACCATCACCATGCCCAACCCTCCAACTTGAAGTTGAAGGTAGCCCCAAAGAGGCTCCAGGCACATCATTTGAAAATATTGTTCTTATCTGTTGCTTCATTGAGTAATGTTTAATCCTAGACTTGAATTTCTTATGATCTAATATGTATATTTCCACGATCCTTCATAGGCTATACACAATTCTAACGCTTGATCAACCACCCATTTAAACAGAAAAATGATTTCAAATGCTCTCTTGGTACACTGTATAGCCAAGAATCAAATAATCGTGATTACTGTTAAGACGAGATTATATTTATAAGATCGTACGATTTTTCTTTAAAAATTAAATGACATCCACTATTCACTTCAACGTGCATGTGTCAAACAAAACGATGAAGTTATCAAATTGCAATCATGGCATGTTTTAATGGATAAAATTTCATTTTTTTTGAATGGTTTTTCTATATATTCAGGACTTAAATTATGTAAAACTATTCGTTGAAATTTTATCCAATGTTCATGTTTAGTAAAAACTACATTTTTTTTAACTTTTCTGCAACTTTTGAACATGGAGGATATTCAAGGCTTGAAATATATATATATATTAGCAACCATATCGACGTATGTTACAAAATTGAGGCAGGTAGCCTTGGCTAGATCAATATTCGTACTATACACAATATCCTACCTAAACTTGCACCTACTCTCAAAGCATCTACTAAATTGCTTGACTCAACTAGGAGGCATGTTAATAATCCTTTTTGATTTCAATTAATCATCTCGACTTCACGAATAATTTTTCATTTCATAATGTTGTGGTTGGGACATGTGTTACGAATGCCCAACCACCGACTGCCTCGTCGAGCTGTGCTTCGCGATGTAGGAATAGGTTGAGAGAAACTTAGGGGCAGCCAAACCAAAACATGGCAGAAATCTATGAAGTCACTGACAAGTGGACTGAGTCATGTTGGAGCCGGCGAGATGATAGTAATCGATGGTTAGAGACTTTGAATGACATGGCTAAAAACCGTTTGCAATGGCGCGGGTGCATTCATTTTTTGTGTTCTCTCAAATCCTAAACTTTTTAATTCTTCATCACTTTATCTTTTTCTTTTTAATTTTATTTCACTAGATGCTACTTCTTGAATCATATCTTCGAACCCTAATTTCTCTGATCACTGCCAACACTTTCAATACATCTACTACCATCGGATTTGAAGTGACAAATGCATCTCTGTGCTAATGCGGTATGGCAACTTGAACTGATCTACGTACGTACGAAGTTCTATGTTGTAACTGACTGACATTTCACATTCTCAGCAACTATAAATACTGCCAATAATTAACACAGTAAATAAATTATAAGACAATAAAAGATATGAAATGATTTTGTATATTTATTGGAAAACAGGTATAAAAAAATGTCATATTTGTATTGTTCAGTTAGTTAAAAAGTTAAATAATTCAATCTCTGTATTCATTGTTGGCTTACGTCTGTTACAATTCATGTTTACTAAGTGTTGTTCTTCAGTTGGAGCGAGATATTTACTTACTTACGCGCGTTACCCCCAATGGAGCACAGACTGCCGACTAGCATTTTCCAACCCACTCTATCCTGGGACTCCCTTTCTAGTTCTGTCCAATTTTTATTCATTCCTCTCATATCTGTCTCCATTTCGCGGCATAATGTGTTCCTTGACATTGCTCTTTCCCTTTGGCTGTGAGGATTCCATGTGAGGGCTTGTCTTGCAACGCAGTTGGATGCTTTCCCCAATGTGTGTCCTATCCACTTAAGCTGATCTTCCTGACTTCATCTACTGGAATCTGGTTTGTTCTCTCCCACAGTAGATTGTTACTCATGGTGTCTGACCAGCGAATCCGAAGTATTTTGCATAGACAACAGCCAATGAATACTTGAGTCTTCCGGATGCTGATTTTGGTAGTTCTCCAACTTTAAGCACCATATAGTAGAACGTTCGTATTAAAAATTTTGACTTAAGTGTTGGGTGATAGTTGTTTGGAGTTCCAGATGTTGTTCAATTGTAAAAATGCAGTCGGGCAAGACACATTGTCCCGTAAATATACGTATTATATTTTTGTTTATACACTATCTGATGATAAGTAGTTAGATAAAATACGGTTTTTTAAACAATGTGAAGTAATTCTAAACAATTTCACTTTGAATTTAGATCATGTGAAAAGATTTTATCAACAAAGTGTAGGAAAGTGGAAATAAATCTGACTAGTCAGTCATGTGAGAAAATACAATAATGAAAATAGTAGATTTCCTATGAAATCGACTAAAGACACAATATGGACAATCAGTCAAACCAGACTGAATCCATCCTAAACATAACTAAAGTAAACACAAGTGCAGTAGACCGTATAGTTGAATGAGATAAAGTTTATGTTTCAGCCAGTGTGTGTTT